ATGCATCTTGCCATATGAAATGTGTGGCGCTCTGTGGGGCGCTGGGGAATCTCAACGTAAAACGTCGCTGCTGGGGGATGGTCACATCATGCATGACTATTGGAACCACGCAATGAAATTGGATTGGGCAAAGCAACACCCTCATGTTCCAGAGTGCGAGTTGGCGTCCACACTACCAATAGTATATCACATGGATGGTGCAGAAGTTTATAGAAATCAAGAATACTACATCTGGTCCTGGTCCAGCGACCTCACTGCAGGCACGGCCTGCACATGGGATACAAAGTTTCCTATATGTACGATTCCATACATGCTCATGAGCAGCAAAGATACCAGATTCGGAGTGTTTAAAAAAATGGGTGAGCTGACGGCGTGGGTGCATGATGTATGGGTCTCTGGACGGTACCCCGACATAGGCTTCGAGGGGGAGGAGTTCGATCCAAAATCATTGAGGTACGCACTTCGTGGCAAACAAATTGCCGATGGAATGTGTGCCATATATGTCGGCGTTAAGGGAGACAGAAAATCCCGAAAAGAGTTGCACCGTTTTGAACGACACTACGGGAAGAGTTTCATCTGTGAGCGCTGCCTAGCATGCCTCCCTGGAAAGATAGCGCCATTTTTCTTGACATACGGTGATTTTACATCGTCGGCAGCATGGCGGCAAACTGAATTCACACATGCTGAGTATATGGCTACAGCTGCGGAGCAATCACACTACTCGTGCGTTCCAGGGTACCACTTGGATACATTATTTGGGGATTGGATGCATGATGTATACCTCGGGTTTGCTCGGGACTCGACAGCTTGTACTGTAGTGGAGATAGCTTCGGAGGGGTCCTTTATGCGTGGACTAGGCGTGGATGACACTTTCACTGCAATCACATACTACTTCAAACATGTGTGGTGCAAGAGACGCGATATGACTGCTCCCCCGATTGGTCTGACAAGAACGACGTGCGGGTGGAGTAAGAACTGGGATTGGCCGGAGATGTCTTCCAAATTCAAAGCTGCGCATATCAAGGCGCCCTCTACGCTTTGTCCCTTTTTCTCTCTCTCTCTCTCTCTCGCTCTCTCTCCGTCGCTCTTGCTCTCTTGGCTCACCCATTCACTCCCAGGGCTGGGAAGAGGGGTAAGTTGGACGAGGGATGGGGAGGCAAGGGAGGGGAACTGGTAGCCGTGCCGATCGAAATGCACTGCGACTCGCAGAGAGCTTGCAATCACCACCGCCCCAAGCTTGTTTCCATGCTGGCAGGGGGAGGGGGCGTTAAGACGGAGTGCAGAGGGGCAGCTTGCCTGCTGCTGCGCGCTCGGCCCAACAGGCCTTGATACCTTTCGTGGCTGACCTCGCCTACATCACCTGCGATGGGACGGCCCACAGCAAGCTGCGCTCCACGAACGCTTGGGGGTTAGCCGAGGTTGTGCACATCTTGGATACGAACGGAAAGTGGCTAGACGAACATACGGTGCGTCGTGCACAATATGCTGGACGCCTGTTTTTAGTGACGCTCCAAAAGCTGGCTCATGAAGCGCTCTCTGCGAATCGTCATTTGTGGAAGATCAGGCCGAAGTGCCACTACTTTGATCACCACCTTAGCGATTTGGCAAACGGCTTCAATCCTCCAGGGCCCCACATACACACCACCACCGCCTCCTCTTCCCCTCCACTGCCAAGACAAATAATTATGTGCGGAGGAGTGGCGAGGACGGAAGGGGGAGGGAGGCGGTTGTGGTGTAATGTTGTTGCCCTGGACATCCTAGGTTTCACCACTGCTTTGCAGACGAAGACCTAATGGGAATCGTTTCCAACATTGGGCAGGGGTGCCACAAAGTTTCGGAGCCCCTCAGAGTTCTTCAGCGCTACTTGCTCGTTATCTCCCGTCGGTGGAAACGACTGCGGGACTAGATTTCGGCGGGCTCGGTAGCGAACGCATGAGAGAGATAGAAGAAACGTTGCGAGAGGTGGTGCTCAGTGAGCTCGGAAGTAAAGCGTTTGGATTTCGGGGGCCCCCCTCGTCGCCACGGCCGGACGCGGCTCGCGCGTTTGGACCCGGGAGCGGTCCGGGGACCCGTTTGGAAAGGATTTCGGCTCGGAAGCGTACTCGAGTCTTTCCCTCCTCCTCGTCCTCCCTCCTTCTCCTCCTCCTCCTCCTCCTCCACCTCCTCGACCCTCCTCCTCTCGCTCCCCCTCCTCCACCCCCCTCCTCCGCCCCCTCCCCCTCCTACCCCCCCCCGCCTCCTCCACCGCCGGGGCCGCCTCTGCGAAGCCGAGCCGCGATCGCGAGACACATCCTGGACCTCCCCTGGCGGCTCGAGGAGATCGCGCGTCGTGGCGGGATATGGCCGCGCTTTCGGCGTCGGGAGGCCACATCGTCGTCGTCGTCGTCGTCGTCGTCGTCGTCGTCGTCGTCGTCGTCGTCGTCGTCGTCGTCGTCGCCGCATCTCCCCCTCACTCCGCCTCCCTCCTCTGGGGCCCGCGCATGTGCATGGATCTTTCACGTTCCCATCGCCAGCAACACCACTGTGACCACCACAATGCCCAGCCAGGAGTATCTCAGGCTGCACAGAGAGGGAGGCCCACTTTCAGGAGGGCATATATAATTCAGGAGGTCCGTTTCCAATTTTTCGGGGGCACGGGGGACCCTGGGGCCCACGGCAACTCGACCCCCCGCCCTGAATTGCCTGACTCTTGGAATGCAATTACAAGACGAGATCCTGAAAGCATTTATCCAAGTGGCTTACGCCGCTTACGCATTCCGCCGAACCCCCAGAAGGAGTGATAGCGTGCGACGATCGTGGAAGCTATCTACTGGCCTTCGGCCCATCCCGCCACCGTGCCTGTGGGTGGTCGGTCAGAGGCCTCATGAGTGTTCGTTGGGATCCCGTGGTAGGCCTCTCGGGGGCGTCTTGGAACAAGTTTTGAAGCCGTTTGGGAGCCGCTTTGGGGCCTCTTAGGGCCTCTTTTGGGGCTCTTGGCGGCCTTCTGGGGCCTCTTGGGGGTCTCTTGGGGGCTTTGGGGGCCCTCTCGTGGCTTCAGGAAGCCCCAAGAAGGCCATGGTGGGGCCCAAGATAGCCTCATTAAAGCCTTCCGCCTCGACAAAGCCCCAGCTAGGGCTTTGTCGAGGGCTCTAATTTTCGGTTCACGACGACGACGACGACGACGACGAGCCCGCAATGTCGGCTAAGAGGTCTCAGACGAGCTGACGGCCGACGACGACGACGACGACGACGACGACGACGACGACGACGACGACGACGACGACGACGACGACGGCGGCGGCGGCGGCGGCGGCGGCGGCGGCTGCGACGACGACGACGACGACGACGACGACGACGACGACGACGACGACGACGACAACGACAACAGCGGCGGCGGCGGCGGCGAGGACGACGACGACGACGACGAGGACGAGGGCGAGAACGAGGAGGAGGACGACGACGACGCAGGAAGCAACCACGACCACGACGACGACCTCGAGCGTCCTTGGTCGGACGCGCACGAGCGGGCCCGATCGTTGCTGGAGGATTCGACACAGCTCGGGCGGTCGACCAGCGCCGCCGGCTCTTTGTTTCGCTCTCTCGTATTTTTTTTCTTTCTCTCTCTCTCTCTTTATCTTTCTTCTTCTCTCTCTCATCTCGGTACAAGGATATCATCGATCCTGTTCCTCCTCATGTTCTCCTCCTCCTTCTTCCTCACCTCCTCCTCCGTGCGTACAAACCATCTACGGTGCGTCTGAATGCGCGCGCGGTCCTATGTCGGAGCTGGCCACCCTGGCAATATAACAGCAAGTATATACGACAGCGACACACTTGCACTGAATCCTACATGTTGCACATGTTTCCTCGGAATTGCGAATCTTGCGCGAAGTTCAACTGCGGCAATAGATTGCCGCAGTTGAACTTCGCGCAAATTGAACTTCGCGCAATTGCATATATGGCAGTATATTTGTCATATATGACAAACATTCAAAGCAACGCTGCCTTATTTTATAAGAAGAGGACGAAAAATAGTCCAATCGATATATACGCCCCAGGGGCGGTCCAGGATCATCCTGGTAGGCGACCAACGCCCGCGGCCCGCAGGAGGGCGCGCCGGCCCGCCAGAGCGTCGCCCCGACGAGGCCGCGCGCGCCCAGGCCACGCTGCACAGCCGTTGGCCTGCAGCGTAGCCACGCGGCTCCCACGGGAGCATTGGCCGATATTTGCTACCCCGCCTCGGGCCCGGGCGGCAAGGGGAGCGGAGACGCCGAAAGGCAACCGAATCACCGAATCCCCGAATGGGGACAGAAGCGGCCTGTGAGAATCTTCCTCCCCAGAACCAAAGCTTAGGGCTGATGAAGAGTTTGGGCATTCAAAGTGGGTGCCAGCGCACGCAAGGACGCGGCCGTCTCCGCGCATTCGCCAAACGGAATGCGAGGAAGCACGCCGCTTCTAGGGATTTCCCCGAGCAAAGGAAAACCATTCAGAAGGTCAGTTAAAAGCCGAGCGTCCGGCCAATCGATCGCCTGCAACATTTCAGCCAGCACAAGCAAGTTTTTCTTCGGACCCAGTACGCCTTGGATGTGCGCGGGCAATTCCGCAAATTTGCACGCCCAGACGGGGTCCAGCACACGCTTGCGCCAAAACTGCAAACTACGATCCCGAGCCCGCGCCAAAGCGGGCCCGTCTAGAGCCAAGACCTGGTCAAGCCACGTGGCGACCGGTTCAGCTACCTCTGGGCGCTCGTCGCAAGACGGCAGCGCAAGAGCCCAGTCTGAATGCTCTAGCGGCTGAAGCTCGCCAGCGCTGGGACTTTGAAGAAACTTATTTACACGATCCTGCACCACGGTGAAACCCGGAAAGCCAGGATATTCGAGGTCGCGCGCTGAGCGCGCGGGCGTCTCGACATCGCCGTCTAAAGCTCGGCTGCCGAAAACACCCTCGGAGAAGTCCGACTCCCCATCAAAACGGGGGAATCTCGAGCTTGAGCCTCCAGGGCTGCTGCCACGACTTGGCGCCTCTCACCGCTCCTGGCGCGCCCAGCCGCTCCGCTGCTGCCAGCCGCCCTGGTGGTTCCATGCGCCCTGGCCGCGCTGCTTGGGGCTGCGCGAGCGCGGCGGCACCGCTGGCGACAGCGAGCGGTGAGCTGCGGACCCCGTCGAGCCCTTGCCTGCACCGTCGGCTTTGCCAGACAGCTTGCCCCTGCCGCCACTGGCCTTGCCGCCGCCAACTTTGCCGCTGGCCCCCTTGACAGCCTCGCCAGCCCTGGTCACGACCTTGTCTTTAGCCTCCTTCGCCAAGTCGCGGTCCACCTTGGCGAAGTAGACCTTCCAACTGGGGTCGCCGCTCTCGAGCGCCCTGGCCATGGCTTTCCGCGCGAGGATGTCGCACTGGTACGCAGTCCTCGCGCCGCCCTGCTCCTCCGCAACCTTGGCGATGAGAAGCGTGTACCCGAGCACTTCCAAAGGCGTGGCCGTCTTCATCAAGATCAGTTTCACGCCCCAATCGAGCAGGTGCGACTGAAACGTTGCGTAGCCCGGGTAATCGATCTCAGACGCTGCACGGGCTCGCTTGAAATCCGCCATTTGGCGCTGACGATCTGGCACAGATCCCTCCCCGACAGGAACGTCGACACCTGGAACGCGGGACCAGGCTGGACGAAAGTTCCGCTGCAGGTCTTCCCCGTCGGCACTGCCAACGTACATCCGACTCTTTTCCTTGGCGATACGGCCTGCCGCCTCGAAAACCGCAAGGTTCTCTTCCGAGGGCAAGCCTTCCTTCGGGAACGCGTCCATGCCGAGCTCGGTGAGCCTGTCGGAAAGCTTAAAAGAAAGCGCCTTTGTCGAGCGCTTCTGGGTCGCTTCCTGGGCTTCGAGATACTCCCGCATGGTGTCTGCCAAGGTCGTCTCCGGGGTAGGCAACGCTGGCTCTGCGGAAGCGCACTTCCGCTGGACCCGGAGGGCGAAGGTGACCTGTGCCGGCTGAACCACCCAGGCCCGGAACTCTGCGGATTCGCCGTGCTTATCGTACGGCTTCTCCCCGTGCTTCACAAGGGCCGTAATCATGTCCCTCATCTGCCGTTCGGCGAAATCCAGCGGGGAAATAGATCCCACTAGCTTCCCCCAGCAACCTCCCCACCGCCAGGTGCCAGAAGAGATCGTGCCTGGCTTTCGGCGTGGGGTCGACGCCGACCAGGAACGAGCACCACTCCTCGACCTTGCTCTTCTCTGCGCCGGCGAAAGCGCTATCCGGCAGGGAGTTGACAAAGTCAGCGATCTCCTGCTGCGCGAATGCCATTGCTGGCTCTGGTGCTGACAATGCTGTCGCAAGTGGGTGCGGAGATTGCCCTCAGCTGGAGAGACAAACACCTGGGCCGACGGCTACGGACTGGGGCAGCCACGCGCGCGTACTCGGCACAAAATTATCTGCCACACCTGGGGCAGAAGCGGTGCCCAGTACACCTGGGCTGGACAACGCCGAGAGTGCACACCTAGGCCCGAAATCGCTGCCACACCTGGGGGGGAAGCGATGCACAGCACACCTGGGCTGGACAACGCCGAGCGAGCACCCCTGGGCCCGAAAATTGCTGCCACACCTGGGGCAGAAGCGATGCACAGCACACCTGGGCTGCGCAACGCCGAACGAGCACACCTGGGCCCGAAATTGCTGCCACCCCTGGGGCAGAAGCGATGCACAGCACACCTGGGCTGGACAACGCCGAGAGTGCACACCTGGGCCCGACATTGCTGCCACACCTGGGGCAGAAGCGATGCACAGCACACCTGGGCTGTACAACGCCGAACGAGCACACCTGGGCCCGGAATTGCCGCCACACCGCAGAAACGATGCACAGCACACCTGGGCTGCACAACGCCGAGCGAGCACACCTGGGCCCGAAATAGCTGCCACACCAGGGGCAGAGGCGAGCAGCTGCGCCACCCCCCCATTGTGGCCACGAGAGCACGGGCAGGGCACAGAGTGGCGACGAGAGCACCAGCGACACGCAACCGCACCAGCCGAACAACGAGGTGGCCAGCGCTGAGGCGTCCCCCACATTGGCTTTCGCAAGGACGCCCTCCTCCAGGGCCTTGCGCTTCGCGCGCGAGAGTCCCGTCCTGTGATGGAAGAGCATTGCCGAGCCCACGACTTCCAACCCCACAGACAGGCTCGCCTGTCTGCGACCTCTTCGGAGAGAGATCCACGGTGAGCCCCCAGAGTCCAGACCAACGCCCCTAGAGGAGGGAGGAGAGGAGAGGCATGGCATCCCCACGCCGCAATCCGCCTGCCGCGAGGCACTCGGCCCTCAGCACACAACGATCCGCCGTGCCACGAGAGCACTGCCAGGCATTAAACAAGACTGCTGGAGAGGCCGCCGAGGCCCAGAAGCATAGAAGCCACACGGGGCTTTCCCTGGAGATTTTCCTGCCCCCCAAATCGCTGCGCGATTTGGGAGCTATGAAACGCGCTTGCATTGCCATTCTGGGCGCGTCTGCGCCAGATCAGGCGGAATCGCGCTCGGTTGCAATATGGGTCCCAGATTGCGCGGATTCGCGCTCTGCTTGCATCTGCGGGCGCTGCTGCGCGAGATTGCGCGAATTCGCGCTCGGACTGCGATCTTAGACGTGTCTGCGCCAGATTGCGCGGAACCGCGCACTACCCAGCGCGCCTGCGCCAGATTGCGCGGAATCGCATTGCAATTCCGCGCGCGCCTGCGCCAGATTCCGCGGATTCGCGCTCCGCTTGCAATTCTGGGCAGGATGGCGCGGATTCGCGCACTGATTGCAATTGCAGGCGCGCCTGCGCCAGATTGCGCGGAATTGCGCTCCGTTTTGCACTTCAGAACGCATCTGCGCCAGATTACGCGAATGTGCGCGACGATTGCAATCGCAGGCGCCCCCGCGCTAGATTGCGCAGAATCGCGCACGCATTGCAATTCTGGGGGCGCCTGCGCCGGATTGCGCGGATTCGGGCTCCTCTTGAATTTCTGAGCGCACATGCGCCAGATGTCGCGGATTCGCGCACGGATTGCAATCCCAAGCGCGCTCGCGCCAGATAGCGCGGAATCGCGCTCGCATTACAATTCCGGGCGAGCTTGCACCAAATTGTGCAGAACCGCGTTCGTTTGCAATCCTGGGCCCGATTGCGCGGATTCGCGTTCCTTTGCCAGTTCGGGCGCTGCTGCGCCAAATTGCGCGAATTCACACACAGATTGCGATTTCAGACGCGTCTGCGCCAGATTGCGCGGAACCGCGCTCGCATTGCAGTTCCGGGCGCGCCCGTGCCTGACTGGGCGCGGTTTCACACTCGGCTTGCAGTCCTGGGCAGGATGGCGCCAGATTGCACAGATTTGCGCTCTGTGTGCAGTACTGGGCGCACCTGCGCTAGATTGCGCGGAATCGCACTCACATTGCAATTCCGCGCGCACCTGCGCCAGATTGCGCGGAATCGCGATCGTCTCAAACAAATCCTGGGCGCTCCTGCGTCAGATGGCTCGGATTCGCGCTGCGTTTGCAGCTTCGGGTGCCCTGAGCCAGAATGCGCGAATTCGCGCACAGATTGCAGACGCGTCTGCGCCGAAATGCGTTCGACCCAGCGCGCCTGCGCCAGATTGCGCGGAATCGCGCTCAACTGACCGCCGTCGAAACCCCCCGCCGATGTCCCTGCCGAAGTTTCGTCAGTGCATTCCTCCACCGTGCTTGCGTCGTGGGTCAGAGGCGTATTATGTTCGATGCCTCTTTGGTTCTCTTGGGATGCTTGTCGGGGGTTTCTCGGAGACTCATCTGGGGCCTCTTATCGGCTTGTTGGGGCCTGTCGGGGGCATCTTTGGCGCCTCCGGAAGCTTTTTGAGGGTTCGATGGTGGTCTCGGGGTCTGTTGGGGGGCTTTGGTTCTGGCGGGGCCTTGGGTGGCGTGCTGGCGGTGTCGGGGGCGCTCTTAGGGGGCCTGTTAAGGGGCCTGTTGCGCCGTCTTGGGGCCTCTGGTCGTTGAGGATAAACAGAACGCCTAACTCAATAACACGATAAAGATGTGGGCTGACTGAGGTCCCCGTCTTCGCATTAGGGATCTTACATTTGGGCAGTTTGGTTCGATACATCTGCAGAACAGATCCCCCTGTCCCTGATGTTCGAGGCCCTCCTAAGATAGGTCCCTTCCAAATGCTTCATCATCTGAGACCATCCTGGAGCGATCTCGGGGACCTGTTGGGCTGCATTGGACTGTCGGAAGCCTGTAGAAGCAAGAAGCAACAAACTACGTTTTGAGGCCCTCGCGACGACCGCCCTGGAGCTCCCTCGGGCGCGTCTAAAGCTTTTCTTGTGATTTATGAAGCCCGCGCCCAGGAGTTCCGACATACTCAGTGGAACAATGAAGCGTCTTGGAGCTTTTCGGAGGCCTCTCAGAGTCAGCTTGCAGATCTCTTGGGCGCTGCGGGAGCTTTGGAGCTCTTGTCGTTTTTGATACCCCCTACCCCTAAACCAAAGGTTTCGATGGGGAGGAAAATCTAAAGCCCCGCCTGACGTTGAACGGTTGGTAGATTCGTCAGTTGATGGCTTTAACCGTGTACGTAAACTCGCGGGCAGTCACGGCTTGGGCTCCCGACGCAGCGGCGGATCTCTTCCAAAGCCTGGTTGGCTCCAACTCGGAGCAGCGGTGGTCTTCGACAACTCCGGAGGCCGATCGGGGCACCGCCCGGCTCGGGGGCGGGATAGCAAGTTCCCGGCACCACGGCCGCCGCGGTCCCTGTCCTGGCTGCCAAACCCCAGGCCCGCGCCCTTTGCTGGCCAGCGCCGCGTGCTGGTGCGCCTCGCAAGCGCTGGGTCGTTCCGGCGCCAGTACGCCCAGAATTGCATTCTGCGCGCGATTCTGCACAATCTGGCGTCGGCGCGTCCAGGAGTGCAATCGCAGCGAATCCCTGCAACTGCGGTCAGGGCGCGAAGTTGCGCATTGCGGGCGGCGTCCGCTTGCCCAGTATTGCATTCTAAGCTCCTTCCTTTTTGCGTTCTGGTGCCCAGGCGCACCCAGATTCGCAATCTGAGCGCGACTTGGCGGTCGTGGGCGTCCGCGCGCCCAGAATTGCATGTTGTGCTCCTTTCTGCGTTTTGGTGCCCAGGCGCACCCAGATTCGCAATCTGTGCGCGACTTCGCGCTTCTGAGCGTCCACGCGCCCAGAGTTGCATTCTGAGCTCCGTTCTGCATTCAGGTGACCCGGCGCGCCAAGATTCGCAGTCTGAGAGCTTTTGGGCGTGCGCGCGCTCAGAATTGCATTCTGAGCTCCATCCGGCGTTCTGGTGCCTGGGAGCACCCGGGTTCGGAATCTGAGCGTGATTTAGCGCTTCTGGGCGTCCGCGCGCCCAGAATTGCATCCTGAGCGCCTTACTGCGTTCTGGTTCCCAGGCGCGCCCAGGTTCGCAATCTGAGCGCTTCTGGGCGTCCGCGCGCCCAGAATTGAATTCTGTGCTCCCTTCTCCATTCTGGTGCGCAGGTACCCAGATTCACAATGTGTCGCAACCGCCGAGTCGGCGTGCGCAAGTTCAAAGCGCGGTCTCGCGTTTCTGCCTGCAGACGCGCCCAGCATCCCAAGAGCCCCGACCGCGCGAGCCAGAGTGGCTACGGACACTCCTGGGCACTCGGGGTCGGATGTGTGCAGGCGGCAGAAGCTAGTCCTTGATGGAGGGGCGTTGGCTAACCCCGCACCTGCACACAACGGGGGCAGGGGTGCTGTGCACATGTGCAGCACGCCAGTCCTGGACCGACCCCGGGGGGCCTGCGTCCCAAACGGCGCGTAATCGGCACTTCCATGCTGACGCCGTTTCACCACCGAACTCAGAATTAAATTATGTGTGGCTGGGGCCTCGTATCGGCTTGTTGGGGCCCGTCGGGGGCATTTTTGGCGCCTCCGGGAGCTTTTTATAGCCCCGAAATCGCGCAGCGGTTTTGGGGGCAGGAAAATCTCCCAAGGTGACCGGTGCCAAATGGGTGCCTTTTCGCTTCCTGGCCTCTTAGCCTTTTGGCAGCCCTCAAAGAATGCGACGTCGGGCGCTTTGAGTTGCAGGCGCAGCTCTCTGCCTGGGTGCCTCCAACAGGGGGCTGCGGCTCACGCGCCCGAGCGGCCTCACCTCCCGCTCGCCTCCGTCTTCCTCCTCTTCGCTGGCTGGCTGGTTGGTGGCTGGGATGTGCGGTGGAGAGCGCTCCTCGCTGCAGATGCTCCGATCCGTGTTCAGCACGTGGCAGCAGCGGGGCGACGCCCCGCAGCAGAGAGAATGTCCCGCAGGACGGGAGAGGCACTCCGCAGCGAGGCCG